CTCCATAAAGACAGCCTGCATTGCTGCCGGACTCCGCATTGGTGTCACCTCCTAATAAACTTTCTCTTTCTGACTTGGAGTACATTTCATTGGCTCGACTGCTCCAGGACACGGACCCCAATCGAGTAACACATTGTTGTGGCTCCTATGTCAACCCATCTCACTGAGGACTTTCCTTGTTTTTGCTGACCCTCTACTTTACCAAACATGATGTCCTTTTCTAGCGCTTGGTATTCCCTGATGATGTGTCCAAAGTAAGCGAGCTAAAGTCTTGCCATCTTGGCTTCTAAGGAGCATTCTGGTTGTATTTCTTCTAAGACTGATAAGGTAAGTCACGCTCTCTCTGCACCTAACTTTCTCCTTGTGCTTGTTTCCTGTCATTTTGTGGAAATGGACTGAGAATCAATGACTTGACACACACAATGACTGCCATGTTTATGCCCCACGTTAACTTATTGTTCAACTTCTGTGTTCTCTGTCTTCCTGTTTTTAACCAATGGTCCATAATGAGTGCAAATTAACCATAAAGGACTAAGACTAAAGACAATTTAAACTGCACAGTGATCCAGGATGCTGCCGCTGGGTAACGGCTGGTGATAGTGGCTGTGGACTGAGTGAGTCAGCGCTGGGCAACTATGCATGTCCCTCCTGCCCAGCACACACTCCCTTTTAAAGGGGAAATTTAACATATTTATTAATTTTAAAAAGTAGATATTGAAATAGGCACTATTACTGCTGGTAATAACATGCCTGGAAGACCTCTGTTAACCCCTGGGGGTTTGTAAGTCATGGGATGGGAAGCAGGGAGCAGTTTATTTTTTATTGTGGTGAAGATATACACAAGACATATACCAATTCAACAATTTCTACATCATGTATAATTCAGTGACATTATGACATTCATGTTGTACAACCATTCTCACTAAACTTTTCCAGATTTTTCTACCACCACTAAAATAAACTCCATGCCCTCTAAGCAAAAACTCCTTCTTTTCCCTGCCCTTTCCACCCCTGGTAACACTAGTAATCTTTGGTTTCTATATATGTGCTTATTTCATATAAGTGAGATCATATAGTATTTGTCCTTTTGTGCCTAACTTTGCTCAACATGATGTTTTCAAGGTTCATCCAGGTTGTGCCATTTCTTTTTATGGCTGAGTAAATAGTCCATTGTATGTACATACCACACATTGTTTATCCATTCATCTGTTGATGGACATTTCAGTTGTTTATACCTTTTGGCTATTGTGAAAAGTGCTGCAATGAACATTGGTGTACAGATTTCTGTTGGCATTCCTGCTTTCACTTCTGGGTATATACCTAAAATTGGGATTGTTGGGTAGTTCTATGTTCAACTTTTTGAGGAACCACCAAACTGTTTTCTATAGTTGCTGTACCACTTTACGTTCCTACTAGCCAATGGGTGAGGGTTCCAATTTCTCCACAACCTTGCCAACACAGTAAACTGTTTTGTTTTTTGATCATTGCCATTCTAATGGGAGTGAAGTGTCGTAACTCTTTGTATTTTGATTTGCATCTCTCTAATACAGTCCCACTCAGAGGCCCTGCTATGAAAGGTCACAGCCTTGAAAACTCCATGGAGCAGTTCTACTCTACACATGAGGTAGCCAGGAGTTGGATTTGCTGGCAAACAACAATGGCTAGTGATGTTGGGCATCTTTTCATGTGCTTGATGACCATTTGAATATGCTCTTTGGTGACATGTCCAAGTTCTTGGCCTATTTTTGATTGGGTTGCTTGTCTTTTCATTGTAAAAGTTTTTTAAAAATGTATTTTGGGTATTAGATCCTTATCAGTATATGGTTCCCAGGGACCAGTTATTCTTAACTGTTTTGAGTAGTGGGCTTTTTAAAGAATTTGATAAAAGCTGTTGACAATCTCCCAAGAAAATGCACACACACACATATCATTACAGACAAAATCTTGTAGAAAATTCTCGGGTTGGTTTCTCAGATGTAAGTAAACATGTTCTGACCCTAGGATACCTCCTATTCAAAGCATCCTAAATATAATACTCCTAACACATTATTTTTCCCCAAGTTTAGCTTTGATGATACCTCTTTTCTTGTTCAAGTTTCTTCAATAGCTCCCCATTAGCCAAAGTGGTGTTTCCGTAAGTGTGATTTGTGACCTCCCACAGGAATAGGCTGATGCTGGTTAAAAATGCAGATTCCTGGGCCCCACATCAGAACTGCTGAGTCAGAATCTCTGGCTGTCAGGGCAGAGCCATTTGCTAGAGCTTTTTAGCCCAGGCAGTCTAACTTCAAAGGCTCAACCACACCTCATGTAAAATTAATTAAAATTCACCCATATGCCAAATAAACATATATTTTCTGTAATGTTAAGTTTTGTTAAAAATAGTGTTCTTTAGAACTTTTATTATGCTTTTATGTAGATTTTATGTAGTTATATAAGGTTGTATTGCAATTATCCTATTGCCAATGTCTCATTTTCCAGCATTAAAAATTCATTCTGATTTTATGAACAGTGCATTTTATGAATATTTGAATTAAGATAATCTAAGACAGTGCAAAAAACCCAACCTGTGGAGTTGATTCAGACTCACAACAACCCTATGAAGACCGAAGAATTGACACCTTTGAATTATGGTGCTGGTGAAGAATATTGAATATACCATGGACTGCCAGAAGAATGAACAAATCTGTCTTGGAAGAAGTACGGCCAGAGTGCTCCTTAGAAGTAACAATGGTGAGACTTCTTCTGATGTACTTTGGACATGTTATCAGGAGGAACCAGTCCCTGGAGAAGGATGTCATGCTTGGTTAAGCAGAAGGATAGCGAAAGAGAGGAAGACCCTCAACGAGATGGTTTAACGCAGTGGCTGCAACGATGGTCTCAAGCACAACTGTGAGGATGGCGCAGAAACAGGCGGGATCTCGTTTTGTTGTACATGGGGTCACTGGGAGTCGGAACCAACCCGATGGCATCTAACAAGACTGCAAGAGAAAAATTACTAGTCTCACATTATGTGTTAATTTAGAAATAATGTATATCTCCTGAGCAGTTAAAAATTCCTCAAGGAGCTCTAATTTCAAAGCCGGAGGGCTGAGGGAATAGAAGTGTTTTTATACTATTGCCACAAGAGGGCGCCATCTAGGCTGGTGTACAGCGAAGAAGGTCAATTTTCTTAGAGCTACTTAGTTGCGTGTTCAGTTCTCCAAACGTTTACCCATTTATTGAGTTTATAGCAGTCTGAATAGGTTTGAAATACTCCTTGTGTATCTCTGCACACTTTTAGCCAGACAGTTTCCATTTTGTTTTCCTAACACCATTTTAAGAAATGTTCATTTTGTTCCTGCTCTTGCCTGCTGCTGCAGGGGGTGGGGTTGGGACTAGGGGGTGGGCAAGAGGGCTGCTGATCTCGGGGGTAGGGGGTAGACTAGGGAGAGGCTAGAGGAGATGAGGGCAGAGAGAAGGGAGATTGAGAAACTGGGGATCAGAGAAGGAGCAAAGAGCCAGGAGACATGATCAATGAACTCTTCATTCACTGCGGAATTTCTGCATATTAACATCTAAATGACTTAGCTTGTGGCTCAGCCCACCCCCATCTCACACCAACTTCCCAGCTCTCATTATCCTCCCTTCCCTGGCCTCCACCTGCTTGCTGGGTATGTTGCCTTTCCGGAATCCGTTTTACCAGGTGTGTCGACGGGGATATTTTAAGCCTTTAGCACAGGCCTGGTATATAGCCTGAGACAGTACTGTTGTCATTTCTGCTCTATACAGGGCCTTTGCTCCTGCTAAATGTTCCTACCTTAGGTTCCTCAGACACACTTGGTACCTTTTCACCTTTGATCTTGACTCCTTTTCCCTCTGCCTGGAATGCCCTGCTTCAGATGGTACCTTCTCTAGGAAGCCATCCCCGGCTCCCTTGGGTGCAGATGGAGGCAGGGAAGGATGTTTCTCAATCCCGAGATCCTGTGGCGCTTTGGCCAAGTCACTTTCGGCATTTGCTCCTTTCTGCCCCGTGTCATGGCTGTGTGCTGGTGTCACACCCTCCATCAAGGTGTCAGCTCCTGGTGTACAGGCTGTCCACCTTTGCACGTATGGCTCCCAGCACGGTATGCAGCATACACCTAGCACTCAACAATTATGAAAAATGAGCTACTTAAATTGTTAATGTACACAATCATGCAGTGCATGGTCATCTGGTACAAAGAGCAGTGGACAAGAGTTGCAGGTTTTAGGTGAGGTTCTGCCCGTTACTAGCCTTGGGATCATCACATTTCCCTCAATTCTCTCTATCAAACAGAGATGATTATGCTTTCTTAATTACTTCAGCTCTGAGATACACCCAAGTCACAGCAATTGGGTTCCAGTGTTCACAAACCTCCTCAGTCACAGGTAATTGATTTGGTTAGCTAGAGACACTATTTGATACAGATGTTGCTAGTTTAAATGAGGCTAATCCCATTCTACAGATCAGAGAAAGCACAAAATCAGGAACAGCCTATGCAGGACCTGACACATTAGCTCACGTCAACCTACAGCCTGTGTGAATTTCTCTTCTCTTGCTGTCCTCTGTGGATTTTGCCTCTAGTGTTGCCTTAGAAGTTCTTTGAACTTTCCAGTCAAATCTTCTGCAGTTTTAAAGCATCACCCCAATGTTTTGAACAATGTCACCGTTTGGAGTTACGTGTTCTTTTGTGTGGAATCAGTTTTATAGGACTTGTGTACCAACTCCTGGTTCCAGGGTTAGCCATCCGTTTTGGGGCAGTTGCCACTGGGCTCGGCTTTTGTTCATCATCCCTCACCTGTTCTCTATATAGCCATCCAACTTGTATTTAAAAGAAGCCTGGCCTTCATCTACAAGACAGGCTGGCTGAGTTTGGTAGCTAAGAGGAACAGCATGCCATTCGCTCCTGATAACCATTCTCAGCAACCTGAAGCCCATTATCTTAGTGGTTCCTTCACGTACCCAAAATCGACTACATAAAATACAATCGGCAAGCCAGCTGTTTCTGAAAACATGTTTTATTTAAATAAGAGCTTAAATACATTACATAACATTAAAACTGAAGGGGGGAAAAAAAAAACAAAAACCAGTTGTTTCTTCACATGGCATTGGGCAGCTGTTGCTAGTAAGTTGCAAGCTCTACAGCTAGCTACATGACTGATACATCAGTTTGAAATTTGTTCCCTTGTCAAAAGTTTAACTGTGATGGAAGGGTGGCCTCACATTCTGGTGTTCCTCCAACATCCCTTAGCTAGGATACGTCTGGTCAAAACAAAGACCTCTGTGGCAAGCCAGATGTCCTATCACCTCACCAGAGGGAAGGTGGCCCTCTCCTAAGCTCTGCCCATCTTGTCAGGTTGGAAACACCAAGGAATCTTTCTTTTGCTACCAAAGGCTCCCTCTAGTGGTACAGTTGCCTTACCCCATCCTCTCCTCTCAGCTCCACCGAGGGCTGTTCAGGTGGTGGGTGACATTCTCTCAGTGCAGGAGTGCAGGGGAACTTCTGGCCTAACACAGCCGTCTGTAATCTCGGGGTTCTGAGCTTGAAACATCACGTTATTGCTTTGTTTCAGGCTGGGCACTGCCAGGCGCCTACTGCTTGACCTCTGTTTAAATGAGGAACTTCAAGACTAAACAGCATGGCTCTTTTCAGTTTATTGCATGAAGGAGTTACACTAGTCCAAGTTAAAAGCGGACCCCAAATGGTTACATTATACAAGCTGTGAGGTTTTAAACTTGTGACAAGGGACAGAAGGGAAATTTTCTACTCATTGCAAGGAAATCCTCACTTAAGCGTCAGTGAGCCACAAGCACTTAAAACCCATGAACCTTCAGCTGGTCGTCCTTAGCCAGTCCAATCTGCAATGAGAAAAGGAAAGGGCACTTAAAAGTCCATTTTTGATGCCAACAACCCTACCCTCCTGCTACCCAAGAGCCAGGTGGCAAGACGCATACCTCAACTACCACAAACATAATGGTTCTCAACTGCAGGGACTCCGTTAAGAACGATCCCTTTGAACATCCTGTGCTCAAGTTCCACCTGCACAGATGCTGAATAAAGGTCTGCGAGGATGAGGAATCATCTCTTCAACTATTACTAAGTACTGATTTTAGCACTTAGGAAATATAGTTTTAGTTTTGGTTTAAAGTCCTTACAAAGTCACTGAAATTCAAAAACAATCCTGCATTCTTCTTTTAGTATCTGCAGCTGTGCAATCTAAAAGTACATCTTTTAAGCACACCCCTCCCCCACAGTAAACTTACAGGCAGACCAGTCCCTTCTGTTTAAAAAAAAAATAAACACCTGTTTTACTTATTCTTACCAAAAACTAAACAACAAAACCTACTTATGTCTCCAGCAGAAACTGACTAGGTAGGATCTGAGATCTGCCAGAAGCGGCACAGTACCAAGAAGTAATGGAACTCACCTCTACAAGGAACTGGCATATGTTCTTGCGCTGGTCACCCTGTAGCTGAATTACCTCTCCATATTCTGGATGCTCAATTACAGTACCATTGCAGGCAAATTTCTGCAAACACAAAGGAAGCAAAACAAATCAGGCCAAGCAGCATTTACACACTTAAGGATTCCTCTGAGGAAACTAATGAGCCCTGGTTGCACAGTGGTTAAGCACTCGGTTGCTAATCAAAAGATGTAGCAGTCTGCTCCCGTAAAGATTACAGCCTTGGAGACCCTATGGGGCAGTTGTTCTCTGTCCTATAAGGCAGCTGTGAGTTGGAATCGACTTGAAGACAATGGGTCCCCGCCCCTCTGGGAGAAACTATGCAACACAGCTAGCACCCCCTTGTGGGTAAAATAAATGGGATCTTCCTACAAACTCATTTAAGACCTACCTTCTTAAACGCTTTCACTAGTTTCTTTTTATCGTAATCATCAGCGATCCCTTGGACAGTGGTAAGGGTCTTCCTGCCGTTTCTCTGTTGAATTCTTATATGGATATAATCCTCAGTCCCAGCAGGAAGCAGATCATCACCCTTACTTGCATCAGCAAAGGGGTCTGGGGAGAAAGACCAAGTTCGTTTAGAACTGTCGCCGCTCAGGTGTGTACCACCCACCCACTGGGTATTTTGCGAGTGCAGAAACTAATACTGAATCGCAAGTTTTCAATCAGATTAGAAGCGTCCTTTGTTGGCGCTCTCCGAACAGGTCAGTCCGGGACGGCTTCCAGAACCCGAGAAAGCCTGGGCTTCTGGTCCCAGGCCCGCCCTCGAAGGCACTCACGTGCTAGGGGAGCCCGGGCTGGCAAGCAGCGCCCCACCCGGCTGATGCAATCGGCCGGAACCCGAGCTCCCGAGGCGAGGCCGAGCTTCCTACCCCCATTGGCGTATGCGTTTGTCACTTAGGGCTGGGCACCGCCTTTCCCTCCCGGCTCCGTGACTACGGCAGGTTACGTAACGGACGTGACGCAAGCGTGGCGGGAGGGGGCGGGTGTGGCTCCAAGAGGCCCGGGAGCCATTAGTAAATGCGCCACCCGAAACGCCGGGCCCGCCCAAGGACTAACCTCCCGCCCGCTCCTTCCGGTCCCGCTCGCAGGCCGACCCCAAGACCCAAGTCTTGACCCCCCGAACCCGGATGTCTTTCCTCCGTCAAAGCTGATAAAGGCCTGTAAATCTGGCAGCTTTCCAGGCCGTCTCCAGGCCCGGAACGTCCCACTCTCCACCCGGGCCTGGGGCTTACCGAAAGAGTGGAGGTTCTGGATAGCGGACATACGATACGATTCCTTTTCCTCGGTGGAAACGGCCTGCGGAAGGCGGCGGCGGGAGAAGGCGGGCAGGGGGGACGGAACGTCGGGAAGCGAGGGGGCTCGAGGGGGAGGCTACTGAGTCCTCGGCGGCGGCTCAGTGACTGGGGCGGAGGGGCGGTGCCTGTATTCACTTATATAGCCGCCCCTGTGACGACAGCGCGCTGACCTCACGTCCCGGCCTCACCCGCGGCGTCGTGCCCCAAGCGCCTAGGCACCGCGGCTTCCAATTGGTTCGGGGGCGGGGATGCGGAGAGCGCTTGCGCAGAAACTCTGCGCTGCGGGAGGGCGTCCTCTCGACTCGCGGGGAGGTGGAAGGGGGAGGGAAAACTTGGTCCATCTAGGCGCCTGCGCAATGCGGGTGGAAGGTGTTTGGGCTGCCGAGAAAAAGTGGCGGAGATTTCGGGCGCGCGTGCGCACTATGTCCTTTGGCATGTTCGCCTTCTTTACCTTGTTGCAGGCCTAACCTGCTGGATAAGGGATATTTCATGGGGAAAGTTGACATTCCTTAGGGGGGATTTAGAAGGTGAGCCCCCCATACACGACAAATTCCCACAATCCATACTCACCTACCCACAGTCACTGACCTACTCCCTCCTTGACAGACAGATTTAGGGCGGCACGTTGATGTTTTAATCAACATAATATGATCAAAGCCTTAATCTTATCATTCAGATTAACCCGTCTAAGGAAAGAATGTGCCGAATTCATTAGCATGAAGTGTTCAAGGGAGGGTAACTGATTCTGGGGACCCAGAAGAATGCAGGCACCAGAAGGGCGTCTTTGTGTCTCACAATTTGTGTGGGATAGAGCCTTCCCAGGGCTTAGATGAAATATTTCCTCTAAAACAGTCAACCTTTCTTGTTCTTTCAATTTATTTATTGAAGTATTTTTTAGCTTGTCTCAGGTGTAGGGGTTAATTGGTGACAGACAGAGATAAGGGGTTTTGGACTCAAAGGTCTCCAGGGGACAGGCAGGGAAGATAAAGAAGTGAAGACAGCCAAGTGTGATGTAATGGGGTGGGGTGGGGGCTTGGGGAAGCCTAGAGAACTAGAGTTTGCAGCAGTCACTCAGCTCCAGCCCATTGTGCCAGATCTTTTTCAAGAGAACCTGGAAGTCTGGATGTTTATATAAAATTTCTTGATTTTCAAATATTACCAACAGATTGAATATTTGGAAAAATAGTGTGCAAGCCAAACAGACAAACAAAAAAGGACATTGGCTCCCACAGGCCCACTGACAGTTAGGGTCACTGCCCTCAGGGAACTGAAGTCTAGCGGGAGAGAGAGACCATAAACAAATAGATAATGACAGACAGCAATAGATGCCAAGGAGGAAGTAAACAGGGTGAGGTGAGAGAGTGATGGGGCTGGGGTCCTTCTTCAGATGGGGTGGTCAGAGAAGGCTTCTGAGGAGGTAACATCCCAGCTGACACTTAAAGGGTAGGAAGGAGTCTGCTGTGGGGCAGGACAAGAGCATGCTGGACAGAGAAGCCCCCAAGTAGGATAAGCCAGGTGTACTTGATAGTTTGTTTTGATTTTGTATTTACTAAATCATCTTTTGACTAGGATTCATTGATATCAGGAAGTGGGGAACCATGGCTAGAGGTCATGGGCACGCCAGTGTCTCAGTCATCCCAGTCTGAGAAGCTGAGGACCCAACCCTGTAACATGGGCCCATGAGTCTGCCCTCTACTCACGAACCTTCACACTTACAGGCATGGCTCTGCGTGAAAGGGGCTTGAGGAGACAGTGTGAATGAGTCAGAGCCATCCTTCCCAGTGTATTTTGTTATATAAAAAACAAACAAACAAACTCGTTGCTGTCAAGGTGATTTTGACTCATAGCGACCCTACAGGACAGAGTAGAACTGTCCCATAGGGTTTCCAAGGAGCGGCTGGTGGATCTGAACTGCCGACATTGTGGTTAGCAGCCGAACACTTAACCACTTCGCCATCAGGTCTCCATTTTGTTATATGGAAATTAAAAAATAACGATGTGGTCTAATTTATCCATCTTTCTTTTTAGGAAAAGACCCTTTCTGTGTCATACTCAAGAAATCCCTTTTCTGCCCTCAGTTTGTAAAAATATTCTGTGTTGCCTTTTGAAAGTTTTAGAGCTTTGCATTTTCACATTTAAGTCTTTAATCCACATGGAATTTATTTTCATGTGGGGTGTGAGGCAGGGGTCTGATTTTTTTTTTTCTATACATAACCAATTGTCTCTGCACCATTTATTGAATAATATATCCTTTACCCACTGGTTTGTCATGCTTTCTCTATCACAATCATGTTTCCATACACTTGTGGGTTTGTTTCTGGATTCTGTTTTGTCCCACTGGCCTATTTATCCCTGAGCTACACTCTTTTAATCATGTTGTTGTTGTGATTGTTATTTGCCATCGAGGTGGCTCTGATTCATGGCAACCGCACGTACAACGGAACGAAACGTTGCCTGGTCCTGTCCAACCTTCATGATGGTTGGCATGTTTGAGTCCCTTGCTGCACCATTGTGTCAGTCTAGCTCACTGGTAGTTTCCCTTGGTTTTGCTGCCCTCTGCTTTACCAAACATGCTGTCCTTCTCTAGTGGTTGGTCTTTCCTGATGACTGTATCGGACGATATTTGCTGTGATCTGCAGGGTTTTCATCGGCTAATTTTCAGAAGTAGATCATTAGGTCTTTCTTCCTAGTCTTACTCTTGAAGCCCCGCTGCAACCTGTCCACCATGGGTGACTCTGCTGGTATTTGAAATACCAGTGGCATAGCTTCCAGCATCATAGCAACATACAAGCCACCACAGTATGACCAACTGATAGACAGGTGGTGGCTCTTAATTATAGGAGCTTTACAAAAAGTCTTGACGTCTAATAGGATGTGTCCCTCCACTTTGTTCTTCAGAGTTATCTTGGCTGTTCTTGGTCCTGGTTCCCTTTTTAGCCTTGTGTGGCTTATCACTGCCCCCCAAGTTCTGCACCCCAGCCATTTTCTGAAGCTCCCCAGACTTTCTGATCTCAGGACGTTGGTCATACTCTTTCCTTTGCTTGATACCTTTTTCCCTCCTCCTCTTCATTTGGCCTTTCCCATTTATCCTTCAGGGCTCAGCTGGGATTATCTAATCTTCTGAGAAGTCTATGTTTGGAGGCCCTTCACTGTATCCCCACTTCCCCTTTTTGGTATTTATCATGCTGTGTTTTGCTTACCTGTTCCCTGGACTGGCTACATGATTTGCTAGGCCCAGTACTAAATGCACATGGGAAGCCCTTTGTTCAAACATTGTTAAGAACTTCCAAACACCCGTGGCAGAGCATTAAGCTAAATGCAGGGCCCTTCTAAGCACGGGGTCCTGTGTGACTGCACAGGTTACATGCCCATGAAGCTGGCCCTGCCTGTTCCTTTATTTGTCCGCCCTTGCTAGGCTGTAAGCTCAAACAGCAGGATGCTTGACTGCCTCCTCTATTGTGTTTGCTAGGTACCTGGCCCACGGTGATTGTTGAATGACCTCGTGGATGTACACAGTGCTCAGATACTAGCAGTGGTTGACCCCCGGCTCCAGGCTGTGACCTCTGCCACCCTTAGAGAGTCCTGGGGCTGAGGGTTGAGAAAAATCCCTTTCAGAGGCCCAGCTCTGGGCTCCAAAGGGAGCTGCCAGACCTGGGCTCTTGGTGCGGGGTGGGGAGGGTGGCCCAGCTCAGCCACATTCCCCAGGCGCTCTTGCAGTGACCTGGCCAGCGGAACCAGTGCCCAGTGCCTGGTGCCCAGTGCCAGACCGACCAGTGGGCAGCATGCAGGTCAGAGGGCAGGCCTGCGGCAGGCACCAGGGAAGCGGGACACCCAGCTAGCGCGTGACCGTTAACTTCCTGGGTGACCGGGTTCGCCTCTTGGGCCTTCAGTTTTATCCCCTGTAAAAGAAGAACTGGGTAATTTCTAAGGTCCTTCCTGGATCTGAAGTTGGAAGCTCTGGCTCCCCTGTTGGGAGCATTTCCAAGAAGGACCTACAGGGGTCTGCCGCCAAGTGGGGTAGGTTGTGCCAGGGAGCTTGTGGGGTAATGACGGATCCGGGGTCAGTTTGTCTGAGAATGACTTCTGTGCCTGCTGTGAATAGCGGGCTCCCTCACCTGCGGTCCTGGCATGGGGCAGCCTGGGGCAGGCACAGGCTCTGGAGTACCCGGATCTGAGTATGGCCTCCACCTCTTCCTGCCTGCGTGGCTCAACCTCGCCCAGCCTCCATTTTCTCATCTGTAAAACAGGGACAATAATACTGTTCTCCTAGGTTGTTGAGGGGATTTAAGGAGGACAATATGTGTGACAGGATAAAAACATAAAGCTATTAAATCCTTAAATAGGTGATGCCAGTTTCCCAGAGGGGAAAGGAGCGAGAAGGGCCTCTGAGGGCAGCTGGAAGTTCCTCAGAATGGGGAGAGGACACAGGTGGGCACTCGGCTGCCTGTCCCTGCTGACCTCCTCGGACATGGCAGGGCATGGCTGCATGGGGCACCCAGGGACCCTCGGCCCTGACAAAATTCCCTAGGGCCCCTAACATGGCAAGGAAGCAGCAGAGCCTTCCACCGGGAAGGGATCATCACAGCATCCTCCGGGAAAATAGGCATCTCCATGACAACCAGGGCAAATGGGTGATCTGGTCCAAGGGGCCTCCCAGTAGCTCTGGTGTGACAGAGAACCCCGTGCCCTAGAGAGAGTCCTGGGGGCTGCGGGAGCCCCTATCACAGCCAAGACTGAATTTCTGGGCAGCCTGGTGGGATGTAGCTTGGCACCGGATTTGACTCGATTTAAAGGAAGTTAAATTGATGTGATATTTCTTGCATTCCTTATTTGGGACCCACCACCCACGTATGTAAATGGCTGGAATAGTGTCTCCCACCCCCACGCACACAGAACCCATGAACAAGGCTGCTGTTCTTACTGCTTGGAACAAGAGTGAGACCTGGGCTTGCTGCAGCTCTGACCAGATATGTGGGGGGCTTACTGTGAGACATGCGTGGTAGGCACCAGCTGCGGTTCACCCTTTCACCACCCCCCCCAACCCAGCGTATAGACTGGGAAGGGACATGAGGGAACCTTATGGGGTGCTGGAAATGATTGTGAGCTTGATCCAGGTGGTACA